AAAGCAGAAATACGTCATGTACAGAGTCACAGTTAACATACAGTATACATTCATCAATTGGTTAACAGTCTAAGGGGTCTTGTCTAAACCCCCCCTACAGGATGTAGTGTCGTCATTACAGATTCTCCCACCCACATTCCAGCTCCATCTTGGTTACACGATGGGAGGGGGGGAAGTGAGTAGTAGTTACTTTAACAGTGATTCTCTCTTTTGTTAGCTGTTACTTTGCACAAAGGAAGTGGGGGAGGAGTTTAATAAAGGAAGATGTTCTTTTAACACAGGAATTTTGTTACATGAGGCTTGCTCGATGGGAAGGGGGGAGGCTAGCAGCATGGGAGGAATTTGTAGAGAAAATAGTGACTGAACACATTGTAGGGGGGAAGGGAATATTTACTCTAGCAGCCAGTTTTAACATAGTGAACACAGATTAAATAGACATTAGTAAATAGCCATTTTATTTTAATTCTTCCGTCCATAACACCTTCACTCCAGTAATTATGTATAGACGACATTATATACTGACACGCCAATACGTCCCTGCATTCCCCTGCTAGTCTTTTAAATTAATTTAACATGAACATTGGCAAACGTGTGGGCATATTCAAGAGTTGGGTACTATGGAAGCAAGCCATTAACAAGGGCCACAGTTCTGTAATTGATTAGACTGCAAATTGTCATTCTGGTGTGATAAGAACTAGGGCTTAATTCACAGTGTAAACATTTACTGTTATTATTTTATTATCATTTTTATTACAAAGTTACAATTACACCATACACAGTACAAGACATCACCATCTCAATGGCCTTCAAAACAAACTACAATATCATTAAAAAAAACAATAAATAATCAATAAATAACAATACTGAAGCTCTCCATTTTTTATCAGCACTACCCACCCACCCTGGTTCCTACTAAATATATATCATGCTTGTTACGGCACCCCCAGGCATAAAAGAGGTTAACAGCCTTTTAGTAGATCTTCCCCTTCCAGAGACACAGGCAGCTACTGTAGACACCAATCCACCGAACTGGAGAAGCATATGAATGCTCTCAAACATACGAATGCTGTAAACAGCCGAATAGGAAAAACCATACGAATAGGTTTACACTCCTAGCAGTCGAACTGGAACAGCATACAATAAATCCCCCCAAGAACGAGACAAGGCTCAGTTTTAAGGGTCAAGCAGGAACAGCCAGAGATGTGGGTTTATTGTTCTTATATACACATTAGTACCACCCACAGGGTTTTGGAAAACAACCAATAAACACATACAATACACTCAGACACTCCCACACAAAATCCTCCCCTCTGCCTGTGATACAATTACCTTATACAATGGGTAATGTAATTATCACCAGCAGAGAAATACAGTTTTTCCACATTATTCATAACTTGAAAAGTATGCATCACATTCACATTTTCAGAATCAGCATACTCCAAATACAAACATATGTCAAAATCATCCAAATTGGTCCATTGGTTCAAAAGATAGATCGAAGTCCTTTGTGACCAAATGAAGCATGGCTTTTCTGCCCAAAACCAGTTCCACAGAGTCTTCTATCCTGGAGATAATTGGGAAGTAATCCAATTATCTCCAAGGACAGAGGCAAAACTCCATTGAACACATGGCAGCAAAAGACAATAAAACACATAAAAACATATAACTGTGCAGCCATTGCACAAAACAGGTACATTCAACATATCCCCAGATAGCTCAGATCTGAGCGCACATTATTACTGAATGGCGCTCAGAGCAAACACATACAGTTCAATTGCCATGGAGCCAAAGTCTTTCCCATAGTCTTTTATTATACGAATGGGCTCCATGGCATAGCTATCTGGGGTATCACCGCTCAAACAGGGCCAGCACCGAATGACCCGGCTTTCGTGTCTTCGCAGGGGAAAATCAAGCGTTTCAACATGGGGCCATAGTCTAAAGGCAGCAGATGGGCAACCAGGCTCCTCCAATGCACAGTGGCGAGATTGGTCTCATCACAATGCTCCTCCAGCAATTGAGTATCACTCAATTACCTCCTCATTCCCATTATATTTTACCAATAGTTGCAACTCTCTGTTAACTTTTTAGTTTCAAATTCCCCCTGATACCTCTCAAATTTCCATTGTATCCTTTAGATTGTTAGCTCACAGGCTGTCTATGTAAGCACTTTTTATAAAAGAGCTTCAATGGCTAGATCTTACCTTACGGGGAGTGTCCTCTCTACCTTTTGTATTTGTCTGTGTATAATTACACACCCATTCCTTGTTGCCCTGTTGTGGTTTCTTGATAGCCCAATAGCGTGTTCCTCTTGTGTTTCTTGGTATTGTGTTCTGGCTCTTGTCTACGTTTATCTTGACCTTGGCTTGTTTAATCGTATTTTCTGATCTCTGTACTCCTTTGACACCGGCTTGCTATACTGACTATGTTTGTTCGTTTAACCCGGCCATTCTAAGAACCGGTATTACGGACTTATTCCTTTAGTGATTCTGTCTATGTGTCCAGGTTCCAGGAATCCTTACACATTAATGGGTGGGCAGTATAGGCTGCCATGAATAATAGCCAGGAAAATAAAATTATTGACATATTGGTCTTGGCTTGGATTTGTATTAATCCCCTGGTTCGTGGTCATACTTCTACTGAACGCCGGGTTGTTCGTATGATTATTCATGAACGGGTGGAAGTCTGGAGGTCTCTGCGGTGTTCGTGCAGTCGAGTGTTCAAACTGAGTTCCAGGCACTCGATGACCAAACACCTTTGGGCGTTCGTATGGTAAGATGGCCGCCACCACATGTTGGTATGCCGAATGGTGCCCACCCAGGGAACACTCAGTTCATTTGTGTAATTGGCAATGAGACTGGTGTTAATACTGCTGAGGGAGGTAAATTACAGACACACTTCTCTCCGGGGTGATCTGGTTGTTCGGTAGTTTGTTCGTATGTCGAACAGAGGTATTCAACTGGGTAGTTATTGCGGTTTTACCGAACAACCAGACGAATGCTGCATACAATACATTGTATCCAAGGGTATAAACGAAAGGGAAATAACGTTGCAACCACCGCAACGTTGCAATAGTTGGGAACAACAAAACACAATTCGCTACACTGTTAAAATGTTTAAAAAGTAAAAATGTTGTTATAAGTTTGATTGAAATAGCTTTTGATTTCAGTAAATATGCTGCAAACACAACACGTGACAATTTTGAGTTCTTTACAACCTATAAAGTGTTTTGAAACTTACTGTGCGTAATAATTTGGAACAGTGCATTGTAAGTTTTTTATGGTAAAAAAATACTATTATCATTAGGAGCTTTGTTCAATAAAATTTGAATTGTACTCTTAACAGTTGATAACATGAGAATTATGCTGACTGTTATTTACAGCAATTATTTAGGTAAATGAGAAAAATATAATTTGCATAATAATTTGGAACAGGGTGTATAGCCTGTACTTCTTAATTGATGAGTCAAGCTCTGTGATATGTTAATGGCCATTAGCCTTGTTCCAGTATCATATTCAAAAGACAAAACATTAATATTTACCCACAGAATAATAACTAAGCCTCATTTTTGTTATATTTGGAATGTTACAAGCACCATCTTCTAAACAAGCCCTAACATGTTTGGCATAACTTATTTGGTCGCAAGTAAGAAATATGACATATCTATGGAATAGAAAAATAAGGAATGGAAAAATAATAACAAATTTATGCAAAAAAAATTCTGTGGCAGGTAGATAAGAGAAGATAGAACCAAATGTTTCCATTTAGTTTGATGTGGGTCTGGACATAAGGGGGTGGTCACTTAGTGTCTCTATAGATACGCCTTAACTCCACCTCTGGGTGAGGCGTGGTAATCCACAGGTTATATCTCTAGTGATACTGAAGCCTTTTACTTGCTTGGGGCCAGTTTCTAATTCTAAGTGAGTCACCATCTTTCCTACCAGAGACCTCCTGGGGCAGAAGTATTTACTTTGAAGAGCTGAGTAAGTGATTAGGGCTTTCTGTTATTTTATCCCTTTTGTTTTTATCTGTTGTTCGTGTAAATAATTTTGTTTGTCATCTATATTTTTGTATGCACTGTGACTATTTTTTTGTTCATAATACATATTCCTTAATTAAGTTCTGCCTTTGTCTGGTAAAGAATCACGTTACCTGAAGAGACTAATTAGTATTTTGCAATTACATAGATATTGTGCTAAGTTACAATTGGTGAGTTTATATTATTGATTTACCTGGGGGACCAAGGCACCCCATTTATAAATTGTCTTGGTGGTGGCAGCGTTAAAATAGTAATATTTATATTATTATGCTTAAGTGTGGGTGGTGTTAAGTGGGATTTTATCATTATTTCCGGTCTAGTGCAGACAAATAGTCAATTTTAACCCTTTCACCACCGCAACTACATCACACACACTCTTGAAGTTGGGTGCGTTCGTGACAGAAAGTGTAGATGTTTTCCAATCAGTATTGTGTGTTCTCAATAATCAAATTATGACACATTTTTATTTTTGCAGAGGCACTAAGGTTTACCTTGGGCAGGAAAGAATTTGCTGAACATGCTCATGTTGTGAAACTTAGCTCTTTTCAAAGTTTAGTTTCACGTATATGTATGTTTATTTGATCTGATAACATGAAGTAACAGGAAGTAAATAAACTGCTGACATCATATCTCCTTTTTCTGTTTGCAGTCTGTCAGTGATTTAATCAATCAGACAGTATTAATGATCTAAAATATTTAACTGGTATTAACCAGAAAAAAGACCCACTTAACTGACAGCGTAAAATAGACACGCCATGCAGGTAAGTGTAGTGGTTATGATGCAAGGAAGCTATCCTAATAAACTAACCTTTCAGTTACCACTTACCTTTCTTGCTAGTTCTAGTTACAGCAAGGCATCTCATGCATGTTTAGAAGGCCGACTTGCATTGAGTGAGACGGCAGTGCATACACACTCTGTACAAGTATTTGTATGGCTAAAATACCAGCAGATGCAAGGTGTGGAGTCTGGGTGCTGAGTGTTTTTTTTTTCCCTGAAAATAAATAAAACTGCAAGGATTCAAATGTTAAGTTTGCATGGTCACTTCCTAACACCTTTACCACTGTGATAAACTAGCGTAGTTATTGTGACACTTTAGGGTAAAACTTCTTAGAGCCATAACTCAGTCCCTGTCCTGACTCTGCTCGGACCTCCTGATCCAATCTCATCTCATTCCTAATATTCCCTGTTCCACTGTTATGTAACCATCATTATGATCACTACCTCCCTACGGCTATAACTCCATCTGTATACTGATGACAATAACTATAGTATTCTATTGATCTATTTAACTTTAAAGTTTCATAACTTACTCTAACAGGGTTATTCACTAGATGGAGAATTCAAAGTGAATTTAAAGTGAATTTCAAATTTAAGATAAAAGTAGCTGGGATGGATACATTATCTAACCAGCTATGCTCCCAGTAAGACTTCTATGGCCTTAATAATTAAAATTACTTTGAATTCATTTTTAAAAACCCTGTATTAGTGCGTCATAACATAATTGTTGATTATTTTAAGATTCGCAGTCTAAGTAAAGTGCTGTGAATAAAGACACTATAAAAATAATGTTAAATAAATACATGATGGCAACTTTTTTTTTTCATTTTCTTTGTCAACTTCACCGTGCTAAACTCATTGTAATTTATAGCGTTTTGTTTTTCAAAGCTGAGATACCTTAGGTGGCGCAACCCTCAGCATCTAGGTCAGACATTTTCCTGGGTGGTTTCTTTGATTTAGTAATTCAGTTTGTTGAATTCTTCTGTTTCCAGCACATGAATTCAATTCATTTCCCAGTGTCTCCAAAATATATGTCTATGCTGTCACCGATTTGGCTCATTTCCAAAGCCTATGTTTATTTTGTACTCTAAGTCTGATTATTACTATTAAACTGTCACTAGAGCAAAAGACAGGGAAATACAAATATTGGAACAATGAATGTTATCAAATTGTGAGTATTAAAGTTACAGATTGACTTAAGGTTATGGAATTTAGGGATACGAGAGTGTAAAATGATCTCTTAGTTGTCTGGCTCAGAAATATGAGATTTACATTAATCAACACATATTTAAAAGAAAATGAACTTGCATCAATATATGCAGTACTTTTATATTGAATACATACAATCCATATTGTATATGGAGATACATACATCAAATGAACAAAAAGAGTACAAAAAAAACCCCCAAAAATTAACTGTAAAAATATAAAACCTTTAATAAAAATATAAAAGAAAAAGATCTTTAATAAAAATATAAAAGAAAAAGATCTTGCCGTGTACCCATCTTTCTCATATCATAGCAAACAGAGGAAAATACCCTCCCTGTAAAGATACCAAATGCTGCAGGTCTCAAGTTAACTTCATCCAAAGTGCTCATGTGTTATCCCATGGTTACTTTCATCTCATGATTTAGTGAAATATACCTCTGTATACTTAGTAAATTTCCATCAATAAAAAAAACAAAAAACTATGAAACCAGGATGCAATAAACAGTTTAACACTTTATTGTATAAATCTTATATTACAACAGTTCATCTTTGCAAAATAAACCCGCCAATAAAACACAGACACAGTTTGATTTTTTTTTGTTCAGTTCATGTCATTGGGAGGTAAATATAAGATAGAGAGCAATCTGCCAGGACACGCTGTATGTTAGGCTTTTCACTGAAAGAAAACTGGCTGCATGATTAGCATCTTCTCAAGATTTTCCTTAAGGTCAATAAAACTCATCATTGCTCATTGCTGGTTTACACCAAAATAAAGCCTACCTATTTAACCGCCCCTGGGCCAGCTCACTGCATTGCAATATGTCAGGACACGTCTGACACTCGAACTGTTAAAGTCCAATTTATAGAATTTTTTACATATTTTTCCCACAGCAAAATAAACATTAAAAAAGTTCAATAATTTTCTTTAGATTTTTGTCGTTATAGATTATACATACATACAAAAAAAAAACCCAGCAACAATATATAACACAACTACAAATGGAAATGATGTATCCCTAAAAAATGCAGTTTTGACCAACCTGGCGCAATGGCAGAAGTCTGGCTTTATTATCCCCTTTTCCCAATTTTCTTTTTTTATCTCAACTTGTTTCCTTCTTTTCTTTTTTTTCCATCATTCTTATTATATGTGTTAGGTACATTAATATTACTTTCCTTGTTAAAATACAAAGTTACTCTTACCTAAATTGTACTTGCTGTGTTGTGCCAAATGTGGATATAAATAAAGATTTGAAAAAAAGATCTATCTTTCATTGTGGTACTATTATGTGATTGAACATAAAAAAAAAATGTTAAGACTGGGGACTCCAATCTTTGCTGGTCTATGTGCATATGCAGGTCCTATAATACAAGGAGCTTTGAAATTATTTCATAGCGAGAATGGTAACTACTTGTTGTGTGCAGACTTTATCAACTCGTAGACAAAACATTGCTCAGCAATTATGTCTTTTCATAAGTAAACCAATGAAAATAATAAAATAACTAAAAAAAAAAAGTCGAACAAGATACTCGATAAAGAGATTGTACTGCAAATTAGCCAAAGTCGCTCTTGACCTACGTGTTATGTCTTATGTGATCTCACAGCAGCCTAATGTTAAGTAAATAAATGCACATGAACAAAATTGGCTGGAATCCACCCGATAGTTTACTATTTCATTATTGCTCTAGTAATGCTGATAAGATAATGAGCTCTGAGTTCTAAACTGCATTTATGAAACTTTCATAAGTATCTCAACAAGTTCAGGAGTTTGCTTTTAATGAAGACATTAACAGACAGCGTGTTGCCAGTATTTAACATTTTCAGCATAGAAGGGAGGGTTTTAAGAAGTCAGTCACAATCACAGCTCATACAGAGTTACAGGTACAACTGGAAAATGAAGAAGCCCCAGAAAGCCAACGCATATAAAAATACAATAATGTAATGTCTTTTAACAAGATTTAGCTTTTTTTAATATTTTTTTTTTAAATTTTCCATTTTTTTTTTTACATTTTCCATTTTTTTTAATTTTTTATTTTTTTTTAAAACAATGGCAGTATTTATGGTTTGGGTGATTGACAGATTGTTAGGGGGTTGAGCAGAACCAATCAGCATCCTCTCCATTATGTTCTTGATCCAAACACACAGAAATAACATTAATAGGACTCTGGTTTGTACTCGCTGGATTTTTTGCCTCATTACTGTGTATGCTCATATTTCTGTGTGAATTTCCCACTAATTTACTATCTCAAATACTATACAGTGAACATCTATTTAGCTCATCAACAGAGGGAACTCAGTTTTGTTTTAAGGTTGTTGTTTTTTATGAAATGAGTACCATTAACTTGAGTAATAACATCTATACCCTGTAACTCACTTGAAAACCATGTGGGACCCTATAGGAGGTAAAAAAAAAAAAAAATGCCAAAGTCTTACTGTGTCTGCTGTTTGCCATTACATTGGTACTGTTTGTTAACCATCTTTAAGCCAGGTGAGACACTATATGATAATTGATATAATAGCTACACAAACAAGAATAATCTAGCATATGTCTGAGTGGCTGTTTTTCGACAATACGTCACAAATGTATAGAGCCTGTGGCTCTGTCTTGTCCGTATGCCTGATCATTTTACATTACATGCCTGTGTGTGAATAAGGCCTTTGTGTCTCAAAAACGCTACTAAAGCTACTGCTGACCTAGCTGAAAGATTAAATGTTATGGGAAGATGAAACATTTTGATTTAAAGGGGCAGTCTAACCACCATAACCACGGCAGAATGTTGCAGTCGGTACAGTGTTATTGGGGATGTTTAAGTGGTTTGAAAAATAATGATGTTTCCTCAGTTGCCCATTATCATTAAGGTTCCTCACTTGTCATATTGCAACCATGGAAATTACCACATTGTCTGACATTATCAGACAATCAACGCCGTGCAAATTTTGCAGAAATTAGCATTGATAATATGATAAGGCAAGTGAACGTCAGCGGGCATCTGGGAAATCCTTGGTTTGTGTCCAACTGCTCGAACATGGTTAAGTCACAACACTAGAATCCTGTTAGCAACATAACTCCTACAACTGGCTGAAGTGATTCTAGTACTTACTCATTAGAGTGCTCCTTTAACAATGATAATTCTTTACTTTCAGTTTATATGAAAGAGCACATTTCTATTATATGGAAATTTACTATTTGTACATGTATTTTTCTATGCGTGTTTTATCTCAAATGAAGATCTTCTTGCAACAGTGAGCAGAAAGCCAAATCCCAATACTTCATACCTTATATTTGGAATTATCTGCGTATAATTTAATGTAACAGCAATTTAAGATTTTACTGATGCTTACTATCATGAAGTACCAGGCACTGGCCCCACTTCTAGATGGGTTTATGTTTGTCATTATACACTGTCCTGAAAATTACAACTGTTTTCATAAAGCACATATAAAGCCAATCTTATATGTGAGCACACTACGTCCAGGACCACACAAGGCCACATGAGATACACACT